GAAAACAACTCCATTTACAACAGCATCAAACAGAGTAAAACATTCAGGAATTAGCTAAAATACAAAATGTATGCTCTAAAAACTATAAGAGATTATTGAAAGAAAAACCAAGATCTAACCAAATGGAAAAGCATCTCATGTTAAAAAACTGGAAGACTTACTATTGTAAAGATGGCCATACTACCCACTACCCAGAGCAATCTACAGATTCACCACAATCCCTATCATAATTTCAGCTGACTTCTTTAGAGAAATTGGCAGGCTTATTCTAAAATTCACATGGAGTTATAAGGACCTTCAAAGAGTCAAAACAATCTTAAAAAAGAACAAAGTTAGAGAATTTATAATTCGCAATTTCAAAACTTATTAAAAAGCAAGAGTAAATCAAGACAAAATATGGGCATAAGTATAAATATAGATCAATGGAACACAAGGGTGCTGAGACCATTCAATGTCTCTTCAACCAATGGTAGTAACAACTGGATATCCACATGCAAAGAATGATGTTGGATCTCTACTTCAAATCATATACAAAAGAATAAAAATGAATCAAAAAACTAAATGTAAGACCTAAAACTATAAAAATGTTAGAAGAAAAGGGAAATATATTCATGACCTTGGATTTAGCAATGGCTTCTCAGATATGACAACCAAAAGCACAAGCAAGTAAAAGGTAACAATAGATAAATTGGACCTTATCAAAATTAAAAACATTTTTGCATCAAAGGACAGTATCAAAAAAGTGAAAAGACAACTGAAAGGATGGAAGAAAGTATTTGCAAATCATATATCTGAAGGGCCTACTGTCCACAAAATACAGAATTATTACAACTCATTAACAAGACAAATAACATAATTAAAAAGTGTGCAAAGGATCTGAAGAGTTCTCCAAAGAAGATACACAAGTGGGCAGCAAAAACACACAAAAAATTGCTTAGTCTTCAGGGAAATGTAAATCAAAACCACAACGAGGTACCACTTCACACCCAAAAGGATGGCTAAAAGCAGAAGAACAGATAACAAGGATTGTCAGAGATGTGCAAAAATTAGAACTCTCCTACACTGCCAGTGGGAATGTAAGTTACCGTTTGACCCAGAAATCCCATTCCCAGAAATCCCATTTTCTTGCATGTACCCAAGAAAAGTAAAAGCCTATGTCCACACAAAAATTTGTACACAAATATTTATAGCAGCATTATTCACAGTGGCCAAAAGGTGGAAACAACTCAATACCCACGAACTAATGAATGAATAAACAAAATTTCTGTTCTGTATATGTATGCAGTGCAATATTATTCAGCCATAGAGGATTGATATATTCCATAGTACAGATAAACCTTGAAAACATTATGCTAAGTGAAAGAAGCCAGTCATAACGTACCACAAATTGGTTTCATTTATATGTAATAGCTAGAACAGGCAGATAATGACAAAGATTAGTGGTTGCTGAGGCCTGGGAGTGGGCAGTGGGATAGAGATAAAGGGATAATAGCTAAAGGGTAGGGGACTTCTAAAGTTGATGAAAATGCTCTAAAATTGACTATGGTGATGGTTGCACATATTTGTGAATCTAGTAAAAACTACTGAATTGTACACTTTAAGTGGGTAAAATAGTATGGTATATAAGGTATACCTCAAAAAAGCTGTTATAAAAAAAGGAAATAAGGAAAGATCTGAGATGCAAGAATGTTGGATAAAGATATGGGCAAACATGTGACAGATCTAAACAAACATCTGTATAAAATAATATCGTAAACTGTGATTTTAAAAAAGAACAAGACAATAGAAGTGCACGTATTGGGAGAAATAACTGGAATTAAAGTATCCCAATTCCTTATATTACTTGTGTGGTCAGGGTTGGAGGTTTAGAGATTGATTAAATTACCATTTAGCATTAGACCTGAAATATGCATGGTCAAATTGGACAAGTAACCACTAAAATAACAAAAACAATGTGTAATTTCCAAACTAATTAAGAAAAATGAGAAATAAAAGCTAACAGGCAAAAGTAAACAGAAAGGTCAGCAAACTACAGGCTGGGAGCCAAATCTAGCCAGCCACCTGTTTTGTAAATAAAGTTTTACTGGAACACAGCTGTGCTCATTTATGTTTGTTTATGGTTGATTCTAAGCTACAATGGCGGAGTTGAATACATGCAACAGAGAGCACATGGCCTACAAATTCTAAAGCATTTACTCTCTGGCCCTTTATGAAGTTTGCTGACTCCCACTACAGAATACTATACAACAGACAGAAAGCAAGAGTCACCACTCTGGGCTGCAATTTTCTGGGCATGGAAATAAAGACAATATCCCCTCCTCTCTCATTTCACCAGAGTTACATTAGATAAAGAGCTTTTGAGAAAGAACTTTAACAGTCTGTGTCCAAGGAATGTTCCCAACCTACGCCCCAGTTTCCCATTCCATAGCAGCCCTCTTTTGATTCTAACCACCAGAACCTAACTCCTTAAGACAAAAAGAGGCAGACCCTTATATTCCAACACCAAGAGACCTCAAGCCATGTTACATTTAAATTCAAACTGGTAAACAACACATAATGTGGACAATCCCCTGAATGGTGTGAGTGTGAGAGTGTGTGTTTGTGTGTGCATATGAAGTTCTAAAAACATACTGACATACTGTTAGCCATGGATATCTATTGCCTGGGCAGGAATATGGCCATATTTTACACAATATATTCACCGCTTGCATCTTTTCATCAAATTGTGTAGAGATCATTGTAAGTTCACATGCACTTGTGAAGTAATAAAGCAGAGATCCTGAATGCCCTTTATTCAGCCTCCCCCAAATGTATCATCTTGCAGAACTGTATAATACAGTATCACAGCCAGGAGAGTGACATCAATACACTCCATAATTTTATCCTGATCTCCAAACTTTTACATGTACTCCTGTGTGTATTTTATCACACATGTGGGTTTGTGCATACGCCACCACAGTCAAGTTACATACAGTTCCATCACTGCAAGGATCCCTCATGTCAACCTTTTATAATCACACTCACTTTCCTCCTACCTCCTCCCCAGCCCAGCAATGACACATCTCTCTCATTTCAAAAATGTCACCGAACCAGAAACACAGGGTGACCTTTTGTGACTGGCTTTCATCAGCAGAATTCCCTGGAGATTCACCCAGGGTGCAATGTGTATCCAGAGTTTGTTCCTTTTCATGCTCAGCAATGCCAGTCTGGACAACCTGTTGTAGGCCACCCACTGACAATTTATGTCCACATTCTAGCTGTTCCATACAGGACTAACTGAGTACTCCTGCACAAGGTTTTGGGTGAGCAGAAGTCTTCCATTCTCTGTGAGAACTGCCCAGTTGGGTTACAGGCTCTTTGCTTGTTCAATTTAGTAGAAAGCTGCCAGACTGTTTCCTAAGTGGCCAGTGCCACTATTCATCCCATCAGCAGTGTAAGAGTGTCCCATTTTCTCTGCATCAGCATTTGGTATTTTCCCAAGGTCATTTTCATGGTTATGTAATGATTGCTTGAATCTATTACAGTGAGGTTATGTTTACATATGAGGTTAAAAAACTGAAATAATTCTAAAAAGTAATCCATGCTTATTTAGTAGGCATTTTGAAAAATATAGAAATGTATAAAAAAGAAAGTAAGGTCCCGTTTTCTCTCTTGAAACAAGAAATGCTGTTATTTATTCCAAAATCAATGTATTCAAGTGCCAGACAACATAGGGCAGATTCTGTCACTTCATTTAAGGCCAAGACCCCACTTTTGGATCTCTCCCCACCTCAAAGACAGCACTGTCTTCAGGAAGGACCTCCTTGGCCAGAGACTACAGTGAGGACTCCTTTTTTTTTTTTTTTAAAGAGCGTATGTTTACTGATTTTAGAGAGGGAGAGAGAGAGAAACATCAGTGTGAGAGAAAACATGGATCAGTTGCCTCTGGGACACGGCCCAACCAGTGATTGAACCTGCAATCTAGATATGGGCTCTGACCGGGGATCAAACTTGCAACCTTTTGGTATCATCTAACCTACTAAGCGACCCAGTCAGGGTGTAAGGACTCTTTTCACAAGTGGGAACCATAGATACTTCATCAGTACCAGGACAGGTAAGCCAAGGGCTCCAGGGCAGCTGCCCAGAGGCACATAGAGAAGGAGGTCACTCAGGTCACCTCTCCCCTATAAGAAAATGGTTCCTTAACCATTTCAGCATCTAGCAACACCTTTGTCAGCCCAGTGAAGCCTATGGATCCCTCTCTGAATCTCACATTTTTAAATGCAGAGAATAAAAAACAGAAGGTGACCATATCAGATACCACACTTTTTAAAAACAAATGTGTTATACAGAACTATACAACCAAACCTCTCAAATAATGATCACAAAGCTTTTGTGAGACCTCTGCAACAACTGAAATGTGAAATGAAAGGAATGATTTCTCCTGGTGCAGTCACGGGTCCTGTTCACCCTTCAGTGGTTGTTGCTAAATTCGTAATGGAATGAAATGCTGAATTTTAGTTAGAGCTTAATAAAAGATGTAACTTTTTTCTTATCCAGTTTCATGGAGCTTCTGAATTCCTTGATTTGAAAGAACCAGAAAGAGCAGAACTAGACCTCTTCCCTAAGAGATTCTTTCCCTTGGCCTAAGTTCTAGGGGAAGGAAGCCCCCATCCAGTTACAGGTGAGGGCCTGGGCCCCCAGTGAAGGCCGTGAGAGGAAAGGTTGGTGCAAACCTTCTAAGGTTTCTCAGAAAGAAGCATAGAGAGGTGGACCCAGGTCCTGGACCCCAGGAAGGGAGTGAAGAAAGATTGGGCCCAGCAGAGGAAACTGTAGCCAACTGAACAAATCCTCACCAGGCCCAGTCCATCTGGGGAAAACTTTAGCTACTTCCTTCTCTAATCCCTAGTTTTTCTGCTTTAACTGTCAGAGGTAGGTACTGGGAAATATTTCTCAGGAAAACCTCAAGTTAATGTTAAGAGCCTAAAGAGCACACAGTGTTTCTGGAAAGGTCTGCCCACCTTTGTCAGCGCAAAAGCCACTGTCCCATCATCCTCAGTGGAAAGATCGAGTAGCTTCTGGTAAAATGCTTCATCATAAGGCCCGTCTATTTGCAATGTTTTTCTGAAGGAAAGGGCACAAAAAAACAAGATGACAAAGCTGACAAAAAATAGTTTGTTAGACTGTTTACAGTTTAATAATCACACATCTGGTATTAAAGAACACATAAGGGATTCTCCTCTTCCCAGTGCTACACTTTATCCTGAAGCAGCATAGTTTTAAAAAGAACTCTCAAGACCAGAACCTGGGGAGCTGAGGCTGAATATGACCTGTTTGTGACAGTGTCCAGGTCAGAGAACCTAGAGAAGGGAGAGTGGGGAAGAAGCCCTCAGGAAAGCCTACTAAAACGCAGAGCCTGCCGGGCACAGAAGCTACTGTCTGTGGAGCAGCACTGCCCCCTGCAGGCCTGACCCTGACTCAAAACGGTCAGATCCACAGGAGGTGCTTCCCTTGCAGGAATGGACCAGTGACCACTGATCTAAGGGACCCTGGTCCTTCACACAGCACTGAGTCCATGGGCAGAACTGGCTCCTGAGGGTAAGGTGGAAAGGTGAAAGGGGTTGGTCATCGTCCTGAGAGGCCTGTGTTATCCTCGCATTGGAGTAACGCTTCCCCTCATCTTCACCTCACCCTCAGGGCTGCTCAGGGGCCCCACATTGGACCAGAATGGGCAGGGGCACCACAGGCCCCAGCCTCACCTCTGCTCAGGAAACTCCTCCAGGTACCTCTCAACCCGTCGATACAGAGGGTAGAGGCCTTCGATGTCCAGCATGTCCAACATCTGCACCTGAAGGGTTTTATATAGAAGACAGCCCTTCGGTAACCCCGCGTGCTCTAGGCTGCTTTTTCCTACCAAGAACATCAAGGGAAACAAAGAGGTTATTGTTAAGGACTAATAAAGGGACAGATACAGGCTGCATAGTCTCAGGAAACTGCTGGGCTGCTAGCATGCACAAGGCCAGGCACAGAGAGGGAGGTGACCCACATTCTGCTCTGTGCCTCTCTTCCCTCTAGGCACCCTTCTACTTCTGCATCTGCTCAGATCTAAGTTTCGAGAGATGACCCTTAATCTAAATAAAGCAAGGCACAAAACTTAAAATGATCATATTAACATCCCCAAATCTGTAAGAGCATGTCTGTGAAGGCCAGATCCTCAGCCTACTTGCAGAGAGAGGTGCCACACTGAGGATGGTCATGATCTGTTGTGCTTAGGCAACCACAGAACACCTAAAAGCCACACAGAGCAGTGCTGCTGTCTTCCTACATCACATCGCTGTGGCCATCATAGTGGTCTCCAAGAGACCACAGAGCTCTTAACACAAAAAATGAAGAATCTCAGTCTTCCTAGCTGGCCCTACAAAGTAAGTTCCTGGCTACAGTACTGCATGCCACAGACCAGAATATGTAGTAAAGCTGCTAACAGGTGACAAAGGGGCAAATGAGGAGCCCACAAACACTCAGGACAAAACCCAAACTAATCTTCTTAAAGCCCAGATGCCACCAAGTCACAGCTGGCTACTGTTGAATGTATGAGGAACGGGTCCTCTAGTAGGAGGTGCCCAGAGTCACAAGCTCTACATACCTGTGCTCACACTTGTTTGCCAAGTTCTGCCTGATGGGACCAACCCTACCTAGAAGGGCTTGCACTGTAGACTCCAACTTCAGTGCCTCATTTCTCCACGTGTAAGAAACAGGCCCAGGAAACCCCCCCCCCCCCCAGCCCCACAGGTCTGCAGAGAGAATAAAACAGGGGCATGTAGAGAAAGCACTCAGCAAACCACAGAGGATGCAGAGACTTGTGGGACAACGTTTTACGCAAAACCATACAGCCCAAACCTGTGATGCAATTTACAAATTCCGATTGGAGATAAGAAAGGGAGTCTCCCCACCTAGGCCTGAGAGGCCGGGAGGCCAGATGGGGGATCCCTGTTGGGGCACAAGTTGCTCTTGCAGAAGCTCTGTGAGGCCAGGAAGGACCCCAGCAGGCTGTGTCCAGGCTCTGCCCACACACCCAACCATCCAGCCAGCCTACCTTGGTGAGGCAGGCTCCTGCTGAAAGGGCTGGCTTCACAGACACATGGGCCCTTCGACCCTGGCCCCAGCCTCAGGGCACTTGCCCAGCCCTTGTCTGAGCCGCTAAGCAGCACTCGTGTGATGACGCGCACCAGCTCTCGAATCACAACCCTTGTGCAGTGGGGCCCACTGGCCAGACCATTGGACGGGAAGAAGAAAGGTTTCAGGTGATATGCCAACTCACTCCAGTCGGCCGTGGGGCTGCGGGCATCCTTGCAGCCATAAATCAGCTCCCCATTCTTCAGGAAGGAAAAAGAACAGGGAAGTATCACCTCCAAGAGATGGGTAGGAAAGCATCTTTATCCCCAGGCAGGCAAAGGGACCTAATGTCATCCACATGCCCATGTGGGGTCCCTACACACTGCAGTCTGCAGAGAAACCCTCTCTCATGCACTCTGTCACTGACCCAGAGGCAGATCCCACTGAAAGGTGAAAATAAGTCCTGATGTAAAACACAAGCCCTCAGACCAGAACACACAGCACACTGACAGCCCATTACTCAAAAGGCTGAGTGATGCCCATGTACCTGAGAGACACACAGTATCAATCAGACGCTGAGCAGGGAGGCTTCTAGGCCAGTGTGAACATCTACAGATGGCCAGTTTTCCAGAGCACTTCTGTCCTCTCAGAAAGGCTGGGCCAGACCCCTGCCAGGGTGGGTGAGTCCTCAGCATTACTAGTGTGGAAACCTTCATTTAGTGGTCATTTTGCCTTCTAAATTCAAGTGCAGCAAAAAGACATCTTGTGGCACCAATGTTCCCAGGGCTGCAGGCAGGAATGCCCAGTGGGCCCAACCCCATGACCTGTACAGGTTCTGTGGTGTCTGGTGGAAAAGCCCCTAAAAGAACCCTAGTCTCCACACCCCTGAGTGGCAGCCAACCCAGGAGTGTATAAAACCTCTTGCCTCATCTATGAGATGGTATGGTCAACAGTCTCCAGGATGGTACCCAATGCCCCCATCACTTGATACTCATACCCTGTAGTCCTCACCATACTGCAGAGGTCTGGTCTGTGTAACCAACAGAATAAGGGCAGAGTGATAGCACATCCCAAGCAAAAATAAGTTATAAAAGACATTGTGGCTTCCATCTTGGTTGCTCTGTTCTCAGATCATGGCAACCATGTTAAGCAGCTCCATGGAACCCCTCATGGCCAGAACAAAGTCTCCTGCCCAGGCCAAGGTCAGGGTACCATCCTGGAAGCACAGACTCTGGCTCTAACCAAGTGTTCCAGTGGGATACAGCCTCAAAAGAGACCCTGGGCCAGAACCAGGCACACTGTTCCTCAGTTGCCAGACACAGAAGCTATGAGGTGACAAGCAGATAAATATTATCTGCTGCTATTGTGCAGCAGCAAATAATATTGATAAGGATGATTCCTGCTCTCCTCCAGGGAGCAGATGGGAGTCAACTCAATCCAACAAGAAATGTTGGCCTTCTGGCCAAGATGGAGGCATAGATAAATATGCTTCGCTTCCTTGCACGACTAAAAGAAGGATAACAACCAATACAAAAAAACAAAAAACAAAAACAAGCAGAACTGCCAGAAAATTAAACTGTATGGAAGCCCGACAGCCAAGGAGTTGAAGAAACATTCATCCAGACTGGTAGGAGGGACAGAGACAGGAAGCCAGGGTGGAGAGGATGCATGACAAGGTGGTGGCTGGCCAACCAGGTGGTCCCCTATTTGCACATGGATAAGACAGGAGGAACAACTGGGGAGAAAGACAGACTGGGCAACGAAGGGTACCAGTGCACAGAAATAAAGCCTCAAAACCTCTAGCTATAAAAATCTGTGGAAGTGGTGGTGCCAGGAGAAACTCCCAGCCTCATAGGAGAATCTGTGGAAGGAGCCTATGGGGTCCTAAAATGTACACAAACCAACCTACCTAGGATTCAGTACCAGCAGGGCCCAATTTGCTTGTGGGTAGTGAGGAAGTAACTGAAAGCTGACCGAGACCCCAGCAAGAGGCATTGTTCCTTCTCGGACCCCTCCCCTACCTTCAACACCACAACACAGCCAAGTGGGTTGGCCCACCCTGATGAGCACCTAAGGCTCCACCCCATAACTGATGCGCTGAGACAAAAGAAATATGGCCCAAATGAAAAACAGATTAAAACTCCAGAAAAAGAACTAAGCAACAAGGAGAGAGCCAACCCTATCAGATGCAGAGTTCAAAACACTGGTAATCAGGATGTTTATAGACATGATTGAGTACAGTCGCAAAATAAAGGAAGACATGAAGGCCATACAAAGTGAGATATTTGAAAATATACAAAGGAAAATATACAGGGAACCATAAGTGAAGAGAAGGAAAATGGGATTCAAATCAAAGATTTGGAATAGGAGAAGAAATAAACATTCAACCAGAACAGAATGAAGAAACAAGAATTCAAAACAATGAGGAAGAGGCTTTGGAACCTCCAGGACAACTTTAAACATTCCAACATCCAAAACAGAGGCACGCCAGAACAAGAGGAAGAGCAAGAAATTGAAAACTTATTTGGAAAAAAATACAGAAAGAAAATTTCCCCAATCTGGTGAATGAATTAGACATGCAAGTCGGGGAACCACACAGAATCCCAAAGAAGGTGGATCCAAGGAGAAACACACCAAGGCACATCAGAATCACATTACCCAAAATTCAAGATAAGGAAAGAATCTTAAAAGCAGCAAGAGAAAAGGAGAGTGTTACCTACAAAGGAGTTCCTGTAAGACTATCAGCTGATTTCTCAAAAGTAAGCTTGCAGGCAAGAAGGGCTGGAAAGATGTATTCAAAGTCATGAAAAGCAATGACCTACAACCTAGATGACTATCCAGCAAAGCTATGATTTAGAATGGAAGGGCAGTTAAAGTGCTTCCCAGATAAGATCAAGTTAAGAGAGTTCAACATCACTAAGCCCTTATTATATGAAATGTTAAAAGGACTTATCTAAGAAACAGATGAAGATCCAAAACTATGAATAGTAAAATAACAACAAACTCACAACTATCAACAACTGAACCTAAAAAAAAACACAAAAACAAACCCAAGTAAACAACTACAACAGGAACAGAATCACAGAAATGGAAATCACATAGTCCTGGTGTGGCTCAGTGGATGGAGTGCCGGTCTGTGAACCAAAAGGTCACTGGTTCAATCCCGCACCAGGGCACACACCTGGGTTGCAGGCTAGGTCCCCTGTTGGGGGCATGTGAGAGACAACCAATCCCTGTATCTCTCACACATCAGTGCTTCTCTCCCACTCTTCCTCCTTTCCTTCCCCTCTTTCTAAAACAAAATAAATAAATCTTTAAAAAAGTTAAAAACCCTAGCTGGTGTGGAGCCAGGTGTGGTTTAGTGAATTGAGCGCTGGCCTGAAAACCAAAAGGTGGCTGGTTGGATTCCCAGTCAGGGAACATTGCTGGGTTGCAGGCCATGTCCCCAATAGGAGATACATGAAGGGCAACCACACACTGATGTTTCTCTTCCTTTCTTTCTCCTTCTCTTCCCCTCCCTAACAATAAATAAATAAAACCTTTAAAAAAGAAAAAAAATGGAGATTACATGGAGGGTTACAGCAGGGATGGGGCGAATGTGGGGAATAAGCACAAAATAGACCAGGGAAGGTTAAGAATAGTATAGAAAATGGAGAAGCCATTTTATTTCATGTCCATATGATCCATGGACATGAAATGAAGGTGAGGGGATGATGGAGGGGGAGTGTAAGGTGGAGGGGAATAAAAGGGAGGGAAAAAATGGGACAACTGTAATAGTATAATCAATAAAATATACTTAAAAAAAAAAGAAACGGCATTTCTCCCTCAGCAAGGTCCTGGGATTCAGCAGCACCAACCCCTAGAAAGCCTCTCTTTGTACTGTCAGAGCTCACACTATGGGAGTCCAGGATGACAGGGACAGAACTAGGTCCACTGTCAGCCACAGGACTGGGAAAACCATCAAGAGACAATGACCCTTGAGATCAGCCTTATAGCGGGAGAAGGGTATGCCAGGCAAAAGGAAGGCAGTAGCTCCCAGGAGGAAACAGGCCAAGAATAAGTACGAGACAAAGCCAGGAATCATGGGGCTGTACTGTTGGCCCATCTTGAAGCTGGTCCTCCAGCCCATGAGTGGCCGAGTGATCCCTGGAAGCAGAAGGCCTCTTCTCCACAGTGTCTGGAATCCAGATAAACGGGAGTTTTACATGTACAGTTGCTCAAGGACCTCATGTGACCTTTGGAGGAGAGGAATCAACCTAGGGTCCATGACTTATCCCATGTGTCCCCCTGCAAGTTTCACAAGTGACCAGTGTTGGGCTGGAGAGAGCCACAGCCCTGGAGTCTATGAACAACATTTGGACAAACAATATAATGCCAGCACTGATCATGACATCGGAACTTCACAATGACGGAAGACTTGAGATTCAGAACCAGAGCTTGCTCATTAGAAGTAATGGCACTTATGAAAATGCACTGTGTTGCTCCAGATATTATTTTTAAAAGCCATTCGTTTGAACCTATTATATCAACCTATGAATTTTTTTCCATGCTGATTTCAACAGAAGCAGCAGACATCCAGGCTCTCAAAGCCAAGCCATGGGCCCAGGGCAAGGCAGACTATCCAGGGGCCAAGCCAGACCTACCACTCTGCCTAATTGTGGGCTTGACAGTCCAGCCCAGGCCAGGCAGTCAAAAAAGGGTCCACTGGAGACAAAATGTCAGTCTTACTATAGGTTCTAAATAAACCCCCAGATGAAAAGAAATTTATCTTCCGAATGTAAACATAAAATTCCTGAATTCCTCATAAAAGTTAAAAATATAAACTGATTTTGAGTATGTCCCCCTTTTCTAGATTGAGAGAGTGGAGGCAAACAGGATAAAGTCAATTCACTCTGACCAAATTTCTGAGTCAGGTGGGGGAAAGCCCCACCCAACCCGGCACCCTTCTGAGGGGCAACAGTGTGCAGAACAGAGCTGTCCACATAGAGCAGGACACAGAGGACACGAGCTGTCCAGATCCAACAGCCCTGCTTCTCCACAGATGTGATGCCTGCAACCCTGTTGCAAACTCTCACATGTGTCACACTTAATTAGGACATAATTGGGACTGAGGACAGTCAGTGGCAAAGAGAAAAGGAGATGACAAAGAAGACCCCAGGGGACACATTTCCAACAGAGGTCACAAGTAGTTCTCCTCCAGATCTGGGCAAGCCCTCCTCTCCCCTTCCCATACCCACCCCTGAGGCCCAATTCCTGCCAGCAGCAGGCCAGGTTACCACAGGGCCTCAGCGAGCCCAATCAGGGTGCCAGCTGCAGGTGGCAAGGAGAAAGCCAAGGATGTCCGGCCTGGGTGATGGATGAACCACCCCACCTGTGAGGCCAGGACAGAATATACTCACTGACAAAGAGGTTCTCAAATTACAAGCTCCTTAAGATAATTGGAAGCAAATGCACAGGTGTGGCCATCCTCTAGGTTGTGCCACTGTGCTACCCTAGTTGCTTCTGCCACCTCAACCACACAGGACACAGAGATACAGAGAAGGATGCCTGAGACACAACCTGGCCATGCCTGGGCCATCATCATCCAAGAACCAGTCAGGTCTGTGTGTCAGGAGAGCCTGAGGTCACCTGGTGGTCAAGGAGTCAACATCACACAACAGAGGAATCAAAGGATGCCATGCTCATGGAAGGGGACTTGGAAAATAGACCCAAAAAACTATGCCAAGGCAGACCCAGCCCAGACATCCTCATCTGCAAGGTCAAAGAGACAAGAGTGTCATGAGTGCACCCAGCTCAGTCCAGTCACTTGCTGCCTCCCCCTTAAAAGAGCCATAAAATATAAGCAACTCTTACCTTAAATATCTTTAAGTTGTTCTGTGCCTCCTGCAACAAGCTTTTCAAGGCAAAGTACATTCTCTGTTTATTCCTAAAAGGGGGAAGGGTTACTGATAGAATTAGAAGCAGTCTTTGCACTCACCTGCCTGTGGCTCCCAACTCATGGCTCAGGGGATAAGCCCAGGAGCTCCTGCTCCAGGTCTCCCAGTTTTTCAAGTTAAGGAGCTGCACTGTCCCCAGCCCTAATGCAGAGACATCCCCATCACTACCCCTAATCTACACCCTGCTCTCAGCCCTCTTCTCATGGCAACACCTTCCCAGCTGCTGGCTCTGCCAGGTTACTTGCAGGAATCAGTAGAGGCAACCCTGACCCCAGGCAAAAACTTGAGCCCTGCCTAGGGCCCTGGTTATATAGGGGCCAGTAGTCCCCACCTCACAGAATGCCTGCCCCACCCCTAAACCCATACCTCCCTCACCTCACAGAACACACACCCATCAACCTCACCTCACAGAATACCACAAACTCCCCTTCACATAACATTACTCCACCTCACAGAATTTCCCACCCATGGTTCCCTCCTCACAGAACACCCCCAACTACATCTCACAGAACACCCACCAACTCCCCATCAGAGAATATCACCCCACCTCACAGAACACTCCCAACCACCCCACCTCCAAGAAAGATGGCACTGGGACAAAGTAGAAGTGTTCTCTTACCCTGAGTAGAGATCAAGGGGACAGTATTTACTTATCTGCTTCCACTTCCCAGTTGCCACCTGTTAAGAAACCACCACATTGTATCAACAATTGGACTGAGAACAGCATTGAGCTAACTGTAACTCATAACAGCTGAAGTGACTAAGATGATGAAGGTTCCAGCAGATGTCACCATGTCTGGATACACATCACCAACCCCAGGAAACCTTGGTCCTCCTGTAAGAGTCTCATGGGGCTGCCAGCCCAGCCCTCCACATGAACAGGGATGCATTAAAAGTGACATGACTACATTTTGGTAATCAGATAAACAAATCTGATTTGGAAGGGGAGGGTGTGGCTAATAAGAAATTTCATGTCGTCGGTGAGATAAAAAATGGAAAAGGCAACTTGCCTTTTGAAAAGCAACTTGCTGGTGTTCATCAAAATTTAAAATGTAGGTGTCCCCTGACTTGGAAAATATACAAGGAATTACAGGGTCAAGGATGTTCACCGTTGCCTCACTATAACAGCAAGACCTAGAAACAAATAAGTAAGTCACAGCAGAGCTGCTCTCAGGGGCGTGAACACAGCAGGACACATGCTGAATGAAAGAATGAATAAATGACATGCAGCTACTAATGGAAAGAGGTAGAGCTAAAATCACCAAGATTTATTCAAGTCAAAAAGCAACTTACAGAACAAAACATATGATGTCACTTTTGCTAAAAAAAAGAAAAAATATGTGCAGACTATGTATATATCCAAAGATGCAAAGAAAAAACCTTCTTGAAGGATAAACAATCCTCAATGATTATTTAAGTGAAAAAAAGAATTAGCAGAACAATTACATATGGCAAGACCCCATATTTGTTTTAGAAATGTGTACACATGCACATATGAACACACATTAGAATATGCATAGAGACGGGCATCACCTCATTTCCACTGGATACCATGTTATTTTTGTTGGCACAGGAAGAAATCTGGAAGGATGTACAAACTGACAACATGAGTTACCTCTGGAAGACAGGTGACCTAATTCATACAATTCCATATTTTATCAGTTAAATGCATTGGAATTGAGTCAGCAAAAATGGTGCAGTAAGAACCTTTAGAAAATCTCTCCTCCATATGGGCAATGAGAAAACTGGCAAAAACTAGAAGAATCAATTACAATTTTCATAACTCTGAAAATTAACCAGTCTTCCAACAACCTGGGGAGCATTTATCAAAGAAAAACAGCCCAGTCTAAGTAAGAACTGAGCTTTGTGGCACTTTTAACGCCCTATTCCCATCCCCTTTCTAGTTCCAAGGGAACCCTGAAAACCAATAGCCCCAACCATGGTGAAAAAAGACTGCCCCTGGCAGTCTCCAGAGTGGTTAAATAGACCAATATTTAAGAAAAAGTCCTTAGCAAATCAAATTCAGCAGCATATTAAAGGGATTATCCACCTACAATCAAGTGGGATTTATCCCAGACACACAAAAGTGGTTCAACATATGAAAATCAGTGTCATTCACCATGTTGATAGAGGGAGGAAAGCACTTCATGATCATTTCAATGTAGGACAAGTACTTGACAAAATCCAACATCTTTTCGTGACTTAAAAAATACACTGAAGAAGAATGTCTATGACAAACTCATAGCTAACATGACATTCAATGGTGAAACACTAAAAGCTATCCCCCTGTGATCAGGAACAAGACTCCTGCTACTTCTATAGAATACTGTACCATAAGTTCTAACTAGAGCAACTAGGGAAAAAAAAAAAAGTGTTCAGGTTGGAAAGAAAGAACTAGAACTATCTCTATTTGCAAGTGATTTGATCATGTATATAGAAAATCCTAGGAAACCATCAAGAAAAATTAGAGCAACTAAGCCAGTTCATCAATAGTAACAGGGTTAAAGATAATATGCAGCACATAGTAGGTAATCATTCTGTGAGGGTTTTTTTCCTTCAGGTGTTGAGGGTCCAATCTTTACTTCTGTGGTTCTTCAGAGGCAGTTGAGCCTATGGGGATTCCCTGATCCCTGAACTACAGCCATGCAGGATGTTTTAGAACTCAGTATCTGTCTCCTGATTCTTACTCACGTTCCTGATGTGCTAAAGGCTGTAGCTACTACCCTGCTGGGTCAGTTCTCTGATGTTCTGATTCCTGGAGAACAACCTATGGCTTACTCCTCCAGCTTTCCAATGAATCTCAAAACACTCAATTTCCTGTCTTAACCTTTTCTGCTTAAAATGCCTAGAATTGTTTCTACTTTTCTACGGAACACTAAAAAATATACAAGATAAGGTTGTCGGGTCAACAATGACCAAGACTGCATTTTTTTCTGATTGACTGGGTCTTAAGTGTGAATGAGCAACATAAAAGAAAGTCCAGCCCCTACCGTGGCTTTTGTGGAGTTGGACCAGTAACTGCTCCAATGGAAGGGAACAGAAGAAATGCTTCAGAAGAGCTGAGTCACAAGTTGGCCACATGGAAGAGTTACTAGAGTTGGTGTTCTATCTCCACTCTATTCCCTGCCCTCCATCAGAACTTTGGGAGCTGACTACAGGCTAAGAGGAGCTGTTAACATCACATTGGTCACTAGCTACAGCCACATTAAGAAAGGCAATATCACAACTGTGAAAGTGTCCTGCACTAGGATGAGGATGAGGGCACAGGTTAACCAGGCAGTGAGTTTTTGTTATTGTGCACGATACCTAAGAAATAAGCCTCTTTTCATTTAAAAAAACCAATATGCAAAAACTAGTTGCATTTCTCACTTCATTAGGATGACAACTATAAAAAACAGAAGAGTCTTAGTGAGGATGTGGGGAAACTGTAACTCTTGTGCACTGTGAGGGAAGTATAAAATGGTGCAGTCACTGTGGACAAGAGGATGGCAGCTCCTCATAAGGAAAGAGAGAACTACAATGTGATCTAGCCATTTGACTTCTGAGTACATACTTAGAAACTGAGAATGATCTGTACACTCATCTTCCTAGCAGCATTATTCACAACAGCCAGAAGGTGGAAAAAACCCAAGTACAATTCATCCTTCAAAAGGAAAGAAATCCTGATAATTGGTACAGCATGGATAAACCTTGAGGACATATGCTAAGCGAAAACAAGCCAGTCACAACAGGCAAATACTGGCAAATTGTACAGACAAATACTGTACAATTCCACAGATATGGGGTACCAACAGTAGTCAAATTCACAGAGGTAAAAACTACAATAGTGGTTCCCAGGGACTGGGCATAGAGCTTCAGTTTGGCAGGATGAAAAAGTTCTAGAGATGGATAATGGTGATGGTTACACAACCAGGTAAATGTACTTAATGCAAGTGACCTGTAGTAGTTAAGATGGTGAATTTTATGTTTTGAGTATTTTACCATAGCTAAATATATGTACATTTAAATATATGTACATTAAAAATATATATACATTTTGGAGCCCTGGCCAGGTAGTTTCAGTTGATTACAGTGTCGTCCCAATACTCCAAGATTGTGGGTTCAGTCCTCAGTCAGGGCACATACACATGACAACCAATGAAAGCATAAGTATGTGGAACAACAAATTGATGTCTCTCTCTCCCTCTCTCAAATCAATTTAAAAATCCTTGAAAAAAAATTAAAATATATAAATTTAAAAAATCAACTGCATTGCTACACAATAAATCTAAAAATGAAATAAAAGAAAATTCCATGTACAATGACATCAAAAAATATTTAGGAATAAATTTAACAAAAGAAGACTTACACACTGTAAACAATAGTATAAAACATCAATGAAGGAAACTAAATACCTAAATAAACAAAAAAACAACCTGTTGTTCACAGAGTATTAATAATATTGTTAAGATAGCAATACCTCCCAAATTGACCTGCAATTCAATGGGATCCCTATCAAAAATCCCTTCTGACTTCTTTGAGGAAATTGAGAAGTTAAAGGCAACTAAATTGAAAAGAAGGAAATAAAACTCTCTATTCACAAATGACATGATCCTGTACATAGAAAATTCCAAAGAATCTACAAGAAAGCTAGTACAGCTAATAAGAAATTCAGCAAAGGCCCTGGCTGGTACAGCTCAGTGGATTGAACGTGGGCCTGCAAACCAAAGGGTTGAGGGTTCAATTCCCAGTCCAGGGCACATGCGTAGGTGGCAGGCCACATGAGAGGCAACCACACATTGATGTTTCTGTCCCTCCCTTTCTTATTCCTGTCCCCTCTCTAAAAAATAAATAAATAAATTCTAAAAGGAAGGAAGGAAGGAAGGAAGGAAGGAAGGAAGGAAGGAAGGAAGGAAGGAAGGGAGGAAGGAATGAATTCAGCAAGGTTGCGGGGTATAAAAAAAACCAAAAAAATTTAGTTGTGCTTCTATACACTAGCAATGAACACTCCCAAAAGGAAATTAAGAAAGCAGTTCCACTTATAATCACATCTGTAATATTATAAAAACAATAAAACACCTAAAAATAAACTTAACGGAAGTGGTGAGAAACTTGTATAGTAAAAACTATAAAATATTGCTGAAAGAAATTTAAAAAAAAACCTTAATAGGTGGAAAGACGGCCTGTGTTCATGGATTATAACACAATACTGTTAAGATAACAATACTACTCAAACTGATCTACAGATTCCTGAAGTTTCTGTCAAAGTTCCAAGTCATGCTTTCCAAAAATGAAAAATCCAGTCCTCAAATTCATATGGCCCATATTTTGCCATGTATAACACACACTTTTTGCCCAAATTTTTGAGGGGAAAATAAGGATGCACATTATACATGGGTAGTGCCTGAAATCCCTTGTATCCATTCTTGTGCTTTGTAATTATTTGTTACAGAACATTTCTTGTACCATAATATGTTAAAAAATAAATGCTAAAATTCCTTTGTAATACAAAGCAAGAATCTAAATATAAATAAACATAACTGAATTTAAAAACTAAAGTGAAAGATTTTTTTCCTGAAAGCTTGGGCCAAAAACATGGGTGCATTATACAAGGGAGTACATCACACACAGCCAAATACAGTAATTATATAGGGCCCCCAAATAGCCTAAACAATCTTGAGAAAGAACAAAGCTAGAGGACTAACACTTTCCGATTTCAAAACTTACTACAAAGCTACAGCAATCAAGAGTGTAGTATTAGTATTAAGGACAGATATACAGAACAATAAAATAGGATAGAGAGCCCAGAAATAATCCATCACATATATGTCCAAAAGATCTTTGATAAGGGTACCAAGTCCATTCAATGAAGAAAGAATAGTCTTTTCAACAAATGGTGCTGGAAAAACTGAACATCCACATGCAAGAGAACGAAGTTCGATACCTACTTAACATCATACACAAAAATTAACTCAAAATGAATTAAAAACCTAAACGTAAGAGCTAAAACTATAAAACTCTTAGAGGAACACAACAGGAAAAAAGCTTCATGACCTTGGATCAGGCAATGATTTTTTTAGATATGACACCAAAAGCAAAGGCAACAAAAGAAAAAGTAGACAAATTGTACTTTATCAAAAGTAAAAACTTTGTGCATCAAAGGAACTATCATCAGAATAAAAAAGCAACAGAGGAGGAAAAAATATTTGCAAACCACATATCTGATAAGAGATTAATATCCAGAATATATAAAAAACACATAAAACTCTGTAACAGAAAAACAAAGTAATTTAGAGTGGGCAAAGAATTAAAATAGATATTTCTCCAAAGATATTCAAATGGCACAATAAGCACAAGAAAAGATGCTTAACATCAGTGTTAGAGATATACAAATGAAAACCACAATGAGATACCACTGCACACTCAGTAGGATGGCTATAACCACAAACAGCGACAACAAGGGTTGGCAAAGATGAGGAGAAATCAGAACATTCATATGTTGCTGGTGGGAATACAAAGTAGTGCAACAGCTGGGAAAAATGGTTTGATGTTTTCTTGAAAAGTTAAACACAGAACTTCCCTGAAACCTAGTAATTCCACTCCAAGGAATCTACCTAAGAGAAGAGAAAACAGGGATTCAAACAAGTACATGAACACACATGTTTACAGCAACATTATTCACAACAACTGAAAGGCGGAAACAAGCCACATGTTCATCAGCAGATGGACAAACAAAATGTTCCCACACAATGGAATATTAATCAGCCATAAAAGAACTGAAGTGCTGATATACAATACAAAACATGGATGGACCTCACTATGATTATACTGAGTGAAAGAAGTCACAAAAGGCCACATATTATATGATTTCATTTATGAAACGTTCAGAACAGGCAAATCCTGATAGACAGGTGCCTGGCAGAGGCTGGCAGTCCAGGGGATTTCAAAGGGACTGCTTCTGGGCACAAAATTTCTTTTTGAAGTGATGAAAATGCTCTGGAATTAGACGACTGTGATAGTCGCACAACTCTGTGAATATACTAAATTATACTTTAAAAGGGTGAGCCTTAGGGTAAGTGAATTTTATCCCAATTTAAGACAAAACAAAACAAAAAGGTAAACAATGAAGTACTTGTGAAATAAAAAGTAAATAATAAATACCTACATTTTCTTTCATTCTTTTGATAACTCTATGTGGTCACACCTCAGGCCCAACCACCCTCCACACAGCTCTGTAGGGAGGGATGTGGGCTAGTTGGCTCTCCTTACCTTGAGGTGCTGGTGCATGCAGTAACGGCACACCTTATGTTTCATCTCATGTGTAACATTACTGGAGAAAGGAATAAACCCACATTTTGGCTGCAAAATAAATAGGAAGAAACACTGCTTACGGAGAAATCACAAACCTTTAAACAGATATAACTAACTACAAGGCAACACTGAGGAGTAGCAGCAAATGTTAGATAAGTATTCCCAAAGTTGCTTTTCTCTCTAGTTCTGCAAGGAAACTGACACTTCCCTTGTCATATTGTATTAACATCTCTCTGCTGTTAGAGAGTCAGAACTCCTACTGGGAAAAGATGGTTTCTCAGTTGCTGGATTGAAAAATACAACAGAGTTGCTTTGTGTTTTTCAAGACAGAAGGAAATTGGAAAGTTCAGATTTGCCCCCACATTCCCAACTGTAAGAAGCAGGACTCTTGTTCCCTCTGACAAGAATTTGTGAATGGGAAGTTGCCCATCTAATGGCTGCCAGGCTCCCAAAATGTTTGAAACCCCAGTTGTCTTTTAAAAGCCACAGTTTCTGGGCACATACAACATGTAAGACCTGCTCTTAGCACTGGGGCAATGAAGAACATGCCACAATTGTTTGTGATGCCTAAGATGCCTCTGGTTGCGGAAACAGATTATTAGGCCCCACTGAGCACACAGGTTGCTCAGAGCCAAGGGTGTGACCCAAAAATCACCACCACAGAGATTTGGAAGGAGACAAACAGTGGCCTGGGACATCTGGGAAGCTTCCGGAGAAAGACCTGAGCAGCCAGACTGAACACTGCACAGCAGAGCTGAAGCTGGCGGCCTGGCCCTTATCCAGCAATCATTTCCCTCCACTAGTAGAGTGATGATGCCCTTTGTCACCCCAACTTGGGAGTCCTGACCACAACAAACCAGGGCCTTGAGAGCCACATAGGTTCCTGTGCCTCTGGGGAGGGTCTCTACTGAGTAGGACAGAAACAAAAGAACAGAGTGCCACCCAGTCTGAAGGGCAACCCTCAAACTAGCCTCCTGGAACACAGCATGCAGTGTCACCATGTTGCCAAGAGGACATGGCAGGGAAGGTCAGGGGGACTGGTGAGCTGTACCCTCCAAAGAAAACAGGGAGGGTGGAACCCTGGACAGAACTTGTCCCTAGCTGGCTCCCCATCAAAGCACCTGAGAATAAGCCTAAATCTGGGGGCCTGGGGAGCCATGTCCCTCAGATCTGGCTGGTGGGAGAAACCAGGTGGCATACATGAAAGTAGCAGGAAGCAAACTGAGTCCCTAGAAGTTGGGGATCTCGGAGAAGGAGCTGTGGGCCCCAGCGTGAGGAACACCAGGAGCTTCTGTGGTAAAGTGCACTCTAGGCAGGTACCATGAATTTACAACCTGAACACACCTTGCCCTTCTCCCCACATCACTTTCCCCTTGACAAAACTCACCTTGATCTCTACACACAGAATCGGCCGATGCTCAGCAAAATGGTAGGTCTGAAGTCTGGCTAAATTGGGAAGGCACAGAGCATAACCACTCAGAGTGTCCAGGTCCTTGTCACAGCGAGATTCTAGAAAACAGTAAGAAAATTAACTGAGGATTAGTATGAGATCAAGATGATCCCATGATAATTCACAAATTCCTGTTGAGGGAAAGATCAGCTGTGCCTAAAAGGGCTGGCCTTGGCCTCTAGTTCTAAGCCTTGGGGTGTCCTACCTGAGGAATGTTCTGGGGTATTTGAGTCACATGAGTGTAACACTGTGATACATGATGGGGGTGTGGGTCTCACAGTATCAGCTCAACCTCCAGAAGGCTGGAGACTGAGGGCAGCTATTCAGCTGCGTCTACATGCCCAATCCCCAGAAAAGCCCTGAGACTGAGGCTCGGGTGGCCTCCGTGCTTGGCATTCCTCCATGTGGTCACATACTGTGGCTGGAAGAAGTAAGCACCATCCGCACAACTCTAACGGGAAAGGACACCTGGAAGTTCATGCTGGTTTCCCTGGACCTGTCCTCAGCACCTTTTCAATCAGCTGGTCTTAATCTCTATCCCTTAGCTGTGATAAGCCATAACCATGAGGATAACAGTAAGTTCTATGGATCCTTCCAGCAAATTATCAGATCCTAAACTTGTTCCTGGGGATCCCCAAAAGGTTCAGTTTTGATCAGAAGGGAGGGTGGTCTTGGGGACCACCTCCCAATTCTGTGAGTCCCTTAACCCAGAAACACAGAGTAGAAGGAGGAACCAGCCTCTGCCTTCGTCTTGTTGGTTCTTTTAGAATCCTCGAACACCACTATTTCCTTAGCACTGACTCTAAAAGCTGTACCTGGACAGTCACAGAACAGCCATGTGGTCTCCAGACCCCATGGGTTGACTTTCCTCCTTTCACATAACAAGCCTGATTATGAGTCATTATTACAATGGGGGTACAATTCTTATTACTGTTAAGTAATACAAACTTAATTCCTAATTGTAAAACAAAATAATGATATTAAGCATTGTTATAGCTAGATGGCAGAACCCTAGACAAGTCTCAGTCTGTTTTAGTATAGATGAGGACAACAGAGTCAAGACCCAGTCCTGGCTTTAACATGGCTACAACACCCTTCTCCCTCATTAGCCATTTCAACACATAGAGCCCTGCTCCTCAGTGCTCCTCAAACCTGAGTCTCCAACTCATGGTGCCTCAATTTTCCTAACCAAGTAAGGAAAGAATTTTCTATTGGCCAACTACACACCTGGACTGCCTGGCTGCGCTTTAGGAGACATATTCATCCTCAGTAACATGGACTTTACATCTTTGTGTGAAAGGAAAGGCTTTGACATGGTTTTTGTCATTATAGCCACAACCAAGTGCAAGGAAGGTACATGAGGTGATAGGGAAGGCACGTGAGGTAATGGATGGAGATATATAAGGTGGGGTGAGGTACGTGAGGTGATGGGCATAGAGTATGCAAGGTGAAATGGTGAAGATATTCAGTGTATGGGGGGTAAGTATGTGAGAAGTACAGGAGGTGTGAAAAATACATGAGATGATGGGGGCTGGCATGGCCCACATCTTCTATCTTCCCCTAGGGGGATCAGCAAGTTGGGTGGATTCAGCTCTGGGAGAAGGTCCTCCAGCTGCAGAACTGCTAGGGCCTGGCCCATCCTCTGTGGTTTGGGTCTACCTTGGTTTTCATTTTGACTCCTCCTCCAAGCTTCCCTATAGCCTACTGTCTCTACCCTGTCTCCCCTACTTCCTTCAGCTTCCTCTCTCTCCCAAATGTATATTTGTTTTTATTTATTTTATTTTTTTTTTTATTTAGTTATTTTTCAAGTACAGTTTTTTGACTGTTTCTCCCATCCCAGCCCCCCCTGCCCCGTCTCCCCACCTCCCTCCCATCCCCCCCCCCCAGTCCTCATCCCTGTGTCCTTCCTATTTGTTCCTCAAAATCCCTCCCCATTTTTCCCCTTAAATTCCCTTCCCTCTCCCCTCTGGTCACTGCCCACTTGTTCTCTATTTCAGTGTCTTTGTTTTTATTCTGTTTGCTTGTTTGTTTTGTTGTTTAGCTAAGTTTTTATTAATTAGTTCTTGGTCATATATTCTCTGCAGTGACCTGGATATCTGATGCCCAAAACCGTGAGCTCTTGAGATTTCTACTTCCAATAATCAAACTTTCTGGCAAAAGAATTGTAAGTAACAATGTCTAACGCTTTCACATGAGATATTTTAAATTACAAAAAGAGCTTATAAGTTAAAACCCTTACCTGGTCTTTCAGACTGTATCTTTAAACAAAGCTGTTTCACAAAATCTAAAGGCAGCTGAACCACTTCCTGTAAGGATAAATATGAAATGCTCAGTCTGGCTGCACAACAATGTGAACACATTTAATGCCACAGAAGCACACACTTAAAGATGGTTAAAATGGTACACTTTATGCTATGCATATTTTCGCACGTTAAAAAACATACTCAGATGTGGGCCTCAGGAATAAAGCTGCTCTTCTATTTTAAGGACTTGTCCAGATGAAACAGACACTAATGTTTTTCATGCATTCAAAGCAGCTGGTGTCCACGCTGGTGATGATCAGCAGCGTGCCTCTTGGCACCCACAGTCAGTCTCCACCAAGCACCTCCTCTATCCTCACTGAGACCTTATCTCTGTCCTCAGTGTCTATGGGCTGCAAAGCAAGGCCTGAGGCAGTTCTATGCCAGCGCAAATACTCCTCACCAAGTATCTGGGCAGAAAACCTGAGGCTTCTCACATTCCCTTTTCCTTGAGAAACAGCTCAAGGGAAAGGTTCTAATCGAGTATTAACCTCTAGGTGAGACTTTCAGTGTGCTGATTAGCCACTAGACTCAGGGTGGTCCAATATGCAATGCATTCAGGGAAAAAACAAAGAGCAACTTCTCTCCAATTTGCCATTTCCTTGTAATTTCCTGAAATAAGTTTTTATTCCATGTTGCTCACTATCTTCATTGTGTTTTCAGGGTAGTAGATTTATGACTTCTGAAGAAGTCCCAATGGGACACAAGAGACCAGCCTAGAATATAAACACCAAGACTCTAAATGCTGACACACCACACCTTCTCCATCCTACCCTGCCCCACCTGTGCATCAGTACCAGTCCATGGCTGACCTGCCTTCAGGCCTGAGGCCATCCTGTCTTACAGACACACTTCTGCCGTCAGCCTAGTCCAGTCAATTGTTTACTTCCTAGTCTGCTATGCCAACTTAACCCACGATTTTGTCATTTACCTACACATGCTATAAACTGATAAAAAGTGAGTTGCTAAAAATTTAGTTCTGAATTAGATAAGATGAAACAATGAAAAAGAGTGGGACTTATAAAAATGTGAAAATTAAAAACTTAGACCATCTCACAAAAGTCCAAGTTCTCACTCCACTTCAGAAAAAAACAAAGGTATGTAGCGGGCAGGTGGCAGGTAAGGGATGCTGCACAGGGAAGGTAAAAAAATGCATCCAGTTCATCTCTCAAAGAAACATCTAGCCCCGAACATCCTGAAGGCAATGCAGGAAGGTCAGGGCAAGCACACTGACTCAGATCTCCACAGAGCAGGAGTCATGACGCTCCCCAGCTGGGAAAGGAAGTCATGGCCCATGCTGGAATCATCAATGCATTGACAGAAACTTGAAGAGGAGCAGACAGGATCAAGTTCGGAGCCAAAAGTGGCTCAACTACTCTTGACACAGCATCTATGAGCTTCCCCGCCTAAATCTAGTCACCTAGGTAAAAAACAGAACTACTTCTTCAAGCAATTTTAAATTCCTGATTTTATAATGAGTTCTATTTGTGTTTTAAGTCAGAATAAAATGTTCAGAGTAGGCATCCTTTCTAACATTTGGTTACATTTACCAACCTTTGATTCAGACTCATGAATCATGTACACCACTCCATGGGTGGACAGACAACACCTACAGAACCCTGGGAAAATGGTGAACTCAGCAGGGCACTTGGCCAGCACCTGCACAAAGTATTAACTTAAGAAAAATTATAGTTCAGACCACAAAATTTCAGGAAAGTTTAACTTGAAAGGTGTGGCCACACCAGCTTCCCTGCTGACAAGCATCTGCCCTCAAAGGGATGAAGTGATGGCTGCAGAAAAGTACGAAGGGCCACCAAGACTGGACAGGGCCTGGCAGGTAAGCAGCATGTCTACAGTCTTGTAAAAACTCCCTCAGAAGAACAGCATCTCCTCACTCGTGTGCGGTGGCCAGGCCAATACTTCCATCATGTCAAGTTAAAGTGGGAAGTCAAGCCCTGTCCAGTGTGGCTCAGTTTGTAGGGCATCATCCTGCAAAGTGAAGGGTTGTCAGTTAAATTCCTAGTCAGGGCACATGCTTGGGTTGCAGCTTCAGTACCCATGCAGGGCATACCTGGGAGGCAAGTGATCAGTGTTGCTCTCTCATATTGATGTTTCTCTCCTTCTCTTTCTCCCTCCCTTCCCCTCTCTCTAAAAATAAATAAATAAAATATTAAATAAAAATAAAGTGAGAAGTCAAGGCCACCCAAGGGCATTCAACCTTGGGAGGACCAGGTCCATAAAAGTGAGGTAAACTTCTAAAATTCCATCAGTATCTCAACTATCCCCAGTATTTAAGAAGCAAACATCTGTGGGCATGAAAAAAGACCCTCTTCCCCATTTCCTAACCTCCAGCTCACTCGGAGATTGGACCAGCCTAGTCCCCAAACCAGTTAGGCAGGCCCAGAGGCAGCATGGGCATGAGAGGTGTGTCTGTCACTGTGTCTGGGCCTCCTGCTCTCACCACTAGGCTGGTCTGTTATCTCATCCCAGCATACAGAGGAGGAAAATGCTCACCAGGGGTCCAATCTGCCCTACTTCATGTAAGTGATCAGAGAAAACAATGGCATTTATACATGCTAGTTTTGCCTGTGCATAGTCTTATGTGGATCAGAGATGTGCTCTGTACGCCACATTCCAACCATGCCAGGGCCTCAGTGGCAGCCCCCTGGGGATATCACGCCCACCTGGAGGAAAAGCAGGCTGTATTCACTTTGGTGTTGTCTTCATGTAGAGAAGGCATGTCAATGGCATGAATATTCCCAGAATGTGACCTTGTGGCTCACCTCACATGCCCAGAGCCTCATCTACTGTGGACAAAAAGAACCAAACCTGAAACCAGGGCATGTATGCCCTGTGCCCTAGGGAAACATCTTGATGCTGCTCTCATTTGCCAGGCCATTCTTGGTTGACCCAAGCTCCTACCACTGTGACCTTTTCAGGGGAAAGGTCTGGAGCCCCCAACACTATGATAGAGAGAAGTATGTATCGGCCTACTCACATTCACTCCGATACCATGCAGGCCAAGAAGCAGGCAACACCCAGAGCAGATAGTTCAGAGACACAAGGCTTTAACAATTCAACTAAACAGCTAAAGACCTCACTGAGTGTAGTGCCAGCATGGAGGATGGCCAAATGACTCTAGTGACTGTGTAGTCCCTTCTACACTGCCTAAGGGTGGCCTGTAAAGCCACCAGATACTGTGGAAATGACAGACACAACTCTGGTCCAGGTAATTTCTCAGACGAAGTGCGGGGGGAGTCAGGGCTGTCTCGAGGATATCCAGAGCGCTGTGGTGAGCCTAGCCTGACTACTGCATGGCTGGGCTGCCCTGAAAAGGGGTCTGATGCCTTCAACTGAGACTGCAGCCCCGAAGGTGCCCAGCAGCACCATCAATAGTACATCCTAAGCTTGTCAAAGGGTCCTTCTTGGAGGATGTTTTGCTGTCAGAGCCATTTCAATTCTACTTTACCAAGCAAACCTTAAGCTTCAAAAAAACCTTTCCCTTGACCTCCTTAGTGTCATTTTTTTCAGAGTGGACACAAGGTACAGTATTTGCAAAATAAAAGCATTGTGCTCTGTGTTCAAAGCAACAAACCTACTGGTATGACCAAGGCTCTAATCTAAGACAAATGGAAAGCCCAGCAGAAGCCTAGCAGCCATCCCAGGTGTAGACAGTAGCCACTGTGACTCCCTGCACTGCCCCTCCCCACTGTCCAAGCTGCAGACCTCATCTGTGATAGGCACTCCTCTCAAATACCAAGACCAGAGAAAGCCAGCAGTGAAGACTACCCGCATGCACTAGGACCAGGGATTCTGTCTGGACCTCACTCCAGAGCCCTCACTAAGCTGGATGTCTATATGAAGGCAGAGTGGAGGAGACTGGGTAGCCTGGCAAGCAGGGGTTTCACATGGTCTCTCTGAACCTCAGGCTTTTCTGGTAGAAAATGAGAAAATACTTTCCGCTCTACTATGTCTCAATGCAGCAAATGAGAAAAACCAAACACTTGGGAATTCTGTCATTAATATGAGTAGTTTTCCTTAAACACAAAGTTCCAAACCAAAATTGAGAAGTTGGTATTATTGATACAGATCTTTCCCATGATTTTAGACTACTACGTAAATAAAAATCACTTACCCCACAATGAACGTAGTTCTCCCCCAAAAACTCCTTCATGACATTTTTGCCAAAGTCTACTATGTTCTGTAGGTGCTGAAATATTTCTTCCGAGGTCTATAAAAAAGAAGCACAAGCATAACTTAGTGACCAAGACCTCCAAGAAAGTATGGAAGGAGTGGACTCTAACACCATCAAGAGCCCCTTACTCACAAGGCTGCCACATCTGCGGCCACAAACAGAATATGGTGGCCCTGGACTTGGAGGAAGGTAAGCCTCACCACAGACTGCTGGACTCACTAGATCTTCTGTGCCCTCAGTTCCCCAGACCCACCTCCACCTTCCACCCAGGCCCATGTGGCCCACACCAGTGCCCACCCCCTACCTGACCCGGAACCCTTGGGGATCCAATAGTAGCCCATGCACACCTTTCATGGACTTTGAAAATCTCTCCTATCCAAAAATCACCGGGTATTTAGATTTTATTCTTCAGCCTCTAAATAGAGAATAAAATGTTGTATCCCAAATCCAATATTCCTAAGGACCCAACGAGCTGTGAAGATTTGGGTGAGACAGAGAATCAGCCCTGTGTCCCTCCCTCTGACCTAAGACGACAAGTCCAAAGGGTCTATCACAGGTCTCTCTAAGGGACAAGAGGGCCCTTCTCATCACACACAAATCAGGAGGTGCTTGACACGTGGCTTGAACTCTACAAAGGGCCTGTACTGAACTGCCGTCTGCACCTATAACAGGTGCAGACCACAGCCAGCGTCCTGTGGCACGTACAGTGACACTGCATGAGAATGAAGCCTAACAGAAAAGCCCAGAACACACCCAGTGGCTCCATACAGCTGTGGCCACTGAGCTTCTAACAAAAAGCTCTTCTTGAAGATGGAATTACCACATGATTTCCCACTGGTAATGCAGCTGGTATCACACCATGCCATTTACATATAAATAAAGGCAAAGTGTTGCCTTGGAAGACAATGCCTCAATAAATCAAAACAGGAAAAGCTGACAGAGGCATCTAGGGAACACTGGCCCTTCACTGAGTCTGGACTCTGCAGATGCTGCGTGGGGAAGGAGAGAGCTGGAGGCAGCCTCCCAGGTGGTTCTAGTTTCCACTTGGATTCCACAGAAACACAACACCCTGCACAGTTCTCTTTAGCAGCTGAGAAGGGGCAGCCCTCCACTCATGCTCTCCCATCTTTTGCCATCCTTCTCTGCACTGACCAAACCATCCCCAGATTTCATGGCAGCACCTTCCTCACTTTCTCCCACGGACCTCTTCTCTTTCTATGCAACTAACCCCTGAGTGTGCCCTTCACTTCCACTGTTGGCTACCACCACTGCCCATAAGCAGTCACCTCCTCTCCCTTTCTGGCTGTCCCTCCTTAACTCAAATGAAGCAGTGATGTACCTCTCCTATGCTGTAATCTTCTGCCCAATTTTCACTTACCACCCAACCACCTGTGCTCCATCCCCCCATGAGGACTGTGACCCTCCCAACCCTGCTCCTGCCTTTGCTCTGCTTTTTAAGATAAGAGCCTATGCTTTGGAGCAGAGTTCACACCACCTTCTGTGCTTCCCTCCCTCACCCCCAAAACCACAAAAAAGGGCTCCAGAAGGCTCTCTTTACTGACCTCTACAACTACTGAGATTTAAATAAATACTACAGTGACATCCCACTCCAGGAAGACAGACACTGCAACTCAGTGCTCAGCCAGTGTGCTACCAAACAGCAACAACTTTCTGAAGGTGTCACGGTACTTTGCTTGGATGACTCAGCAAATAGAAACCCACGCTCCACCTGAACTGTCTGTTGTGACTTGTAACGCAGTCTACTGGGCAGCATCACAGGCTTTATTCTCATACATACAATTCCAAGAGGCAGTAGGGTGTAAGGAAATCACCATAGGAAAACTGAGACCTGGTCTTAGGGGTCCTGGCTAACCAGGAGGGCTCTTGGAACTGAACAAGGTAACTCCTCGCTCAGTACCCAGGGACTCACCATAGAAACCCATAGTGACCCCAGCAAATCAAAGCACTGGGTCCTGCAGGAATCAGGGACACACCACTTTCTACACTGAATGCTTGTGTCATATTTAAATTTCTACAGTTCGCATTAATGCTTCTACATCAGAAATAAAACCAAAGTTTTCTTAAGTAATTGTTTCAATGACTGGGTGTCAAACTGCACAGACCTTACCTTCTTCCTGTTGGGAGGAAACTTCAGAAAACGTAGTACCACACAACGCTATTGGAAGATAAAATAAAGTCTGATTAGTACCAGCCCAAAGCCCGGGAAAAAGGGTGGATGGCTGTGGAGAAGTGGCTGGGGCAACTTGAGGACTTTCCTCAGCAGCTGGGAGGTTGCAAACTCCATTGACAGCCCATTGGCCTGGAATACCCAGTGCCCACAGGGAGGGGCCCAGCACTGTGTCACACACCAGAGGACACACTGGGGCCACAGGACAACCAGAAAAACCTGTGCCCTGTGACCTAGCCAGTGCACTTCCTGGAATTCATCTTACGGAAATAATTAAGAATATGTCAAAGATTTTAGCTACTCATATAAAAGTAGTATTTATAATCCTAAATAAAATGTAAATAACCTAAATGTCCATCAGTAGTGAGATGGTTAAATACAGGGGGACACTCCCAAACCATGGAATATCATGCTATCACTGATAAGAAAATAGGAAGCTCTGTATTTACAGATACAGATGAAAAAGGTCGCAGAATAGGGCTTATAGAATAAGCCCATTTTAATAAATACATAATTATACATGTGCATGAATGTGAATATGTACACATGTGTGTATATAAATATGCATATACCATCATGTGTGTGTATATGAGATGAGGTCTGTCTGGAAAAATTCCAGCCTTTGTTAATATAACGACAATGGTTTGTGTGACATTGATGTAAACTGTCAGCCAAAGAGAGTGGACTGGAATGTACATGCATGAATAATGATGACTTCACTGTACTAGTCAGTGGGGGCAGCAGATGCCATTGAGTGACTATGTGTACTGGGTGGCCATCACAATATGGCTGAGTGAGTAGAGCTACGAATCTGTGTCCAATTTTGCGTTAAGCTTGAACATTCCTCTACAGAAACTATTCAGATGATTCAGAAGGCCGCAGCTCTGGGCAACTTGTGATTAGCAACTTCATACAACAATGTGCCTGCTCGTGCATCACGTCTCATGGAGAGTTTTTTCAGCAAAATGTCAAATCACCCAGGTGACTCAGCCCCCCACCTATAATCTAGATTTGGCACCCTGCAGACTCTGTATTTTCCCAAAATTAATATCACCTTTGAAAGGGAAGAGATTTCAGACCATCGATGAGATTCAGGACAATATGACAGGGCAGCTGATGGTAACTGGCAGAACTGTGTGAGGTTCTAGGGTGCCTACTTTGAAGGGCATTGAGGTAACATTGTCCTATGTACAATGTTTCTTGAATCTTGCATCTTCTTCAATAAATGTCTCTATTTTCCATATACATGGCTGGATACCTTCTGGACAGATCTCATATTTATTAGAATAATGTGCAGGTACAATTCTGTTTCTGTGATGTTCAAAAATAGGTAAGACAAAGTTGATGATCACCCCTCAGGCAGGTGGGAAGGTCCCTGAGAAAGGTTACAGAAGGGTCTGGATTATTGATCCATGTAATTTTGTAATAATCAAACTACAGATACACTTAAAATCTCAGAACTTTAAAAAATTTTTTAATTTATTTTTAGACAGAGGGGAAAGGAAGGAGAAAGAGAGTTAGAGAAACATCAATGCATGGTTGCCCCTCATGTGACCCCCACTGGGAACCTGGCCCACAACCCAGGCATGTGCCCTGACCAGGAATCAAACCAGCGACCCCCTGGTTCACAGTCCACACTCAATCCACTGAGCTACACCAGTCAGGGCTAATCTCAGCACTTTTATATAGGTTTACTACACTGCATTCTTAAAAGTATGTAAAATAGAAATGTTTATATATAGTATGTGTACACTCCATTTGTATAAAACACTTGAAAGGACTTCAGCACAGTTAATAGCATTTCCAGGTAGCAAAAATTGGGACAACAATTTTTTTTAAAGCACTGACCTCTTTGTTGTTTATCTTTTGAGGACCTCTAAAGATATACACATGCACACACACCCCCACACTAGAGAAAGAGGAAGGGAGAGAAAGAAAGAAAGAGAGAAACATTGACTGGCTGCCTCCATATGTACTCCAATCAGGGACCAAACTTACAACCCAAACAGGTGCCCTGACTGGGAATCAAACCCACAGCCTTTCAGTGCACCATCCCATCAGGATGATGCTCTAAACAACTGAGCCACACCAGCCAGGGCAACAATTTCTTTTTAAGCTCTGCTTATTTATTATTTGGGTTCCCCAATTTTTATAATGTTCATATAATATACAAGAATGAAAAAATAACTTTTTATTTTTATTTTTTACCTTTTTTTCTTTTTTATTAATTTATTTATTTTTTATTGATTATGCCATTACAGTTGTTCTATTCCCCCCCTTCATTCCCCTCCACCCTACCTCCCCGTCCCCATTACCCCCCTTTAGTTTATGACCATGTGTCTCAAGTTCTTTAGATTCTATATTTCCCCTACTATTCTTGCCCCCCCATCTATTTTCTATCTACTGTCTATGCTACTTATTTTCTGTACCTTCTTCCCCCTTCTCCTCCTCCCACTCCCCTGTTGCTAACCCTCCATGAGATCTTCATTTCTATGGTTCTGCTCCTGATCTAGCTGTCCTTTTAGTTTGCTTTTGTTTTAGGTGTGGTTGTTAGTAACTGTGAGTTTGCTGTCCTTTCACTGTTCATATTTTTTATCTTCTTTTTCTTAGATAAGTCCCTTTAACATTTCATATAATAAGGGCTTGCTGATGATGAACTCCTTGAATTTGATCTTATCTGAGAAGCACTTTATCTGGCCTTCCATTCTAAATGAAAGTTTTGCTGGATAGAGCAATCTTTTTGTAGGTCTTTGGATTTCATGACTTGGAATACCTCTTTCCAGCCCCTTCTTGCCTGGAAGGTCTCTTTTGAGAAATCTGCTGACAGTCTGATGGGGACTCCTTTGTAGGTGACTGTCTCCTTAGCTCTTGCTGTTTCTAGGATTCTCTCCTTCATTTTAATCTTGGCTAATATAATGATGATGTGCCTTGGTGTGTTTCTTCTTGGGTCCAACTTCTTTGGGACTCTCTGAGCTTCCTGGATTTCCTGGAAGTCTATTTCCTTTGCCAGATTGGGGAAATTCTCCTTTATTATTTGTTCAAATAAGTTTTCCACTGGTGGCTGTGCCTTTCCCCCTTCTGGTACCCCTATAATTCGGATGTTGGAGCGTTTAAAGATGTCCTGGAGGTTCCTAAGACTCTCCTCATTTTTTTTGAATTCTTGCTTCTTCACTCTTTTCTGTTTGGCCATTATTTGCTTTCTTCTGGTCCACTCCATTGATTTGAGTCCCAGTTTCCTTTTCATCGCTATTGGTTTCCTGTGCAATTCCATTCATTTCAATTAGTTTCGCCTTCATATGTTTGTCTAATTTGTGGCTATAATCAACCAGTTCTGTGAGGATCCTGATCACCAGTGTTTTAAACTGTGTGTCTGAGAGTTTTGCTGTTTCTTCATCACTTAGATTTATAGGCTCTGGGGCTTTGAGATCTTCTTGCACCATTTTTGGTCTGTTCGTGCCCTTTAAATGTGAGGAGCGGAGGCTTGGACTCCCAGGTCGCTGGGTTGTGACGCTGTATGTGGGGCGTGGTCAGAGCGGGGAAATGGCCGCACCCTCTGCTCTTTGGAGCCACTGGGTGATAAGCAGCGCCTTAGGTGGTTCACCAGGGCCGGGCCACTCAGAGTCGCTGGGTTATGACGCTGTATGTGGAGGTGGGGTCAGAGCCAGGAAATGGCGGCGCCCTCCGCTGCCGCTTGCTGCGGGGACCCGCTGGGTCCCGGTCTGATCGCCCACTCCCTCGCTTGTCTATCTGCACACAAATGCGTGACCACAGTCAACACGCAGCCCTGCTCCCTCGCTGTTTCCCCACGGTCGCTCGCTCGGTTGCTTGCTGGGTCTCTCAGTAGGTCCAACCCTGCACCTGGATTCCACGCGCCTGAGTCCGTCTGACTGAGTTTTCCTGTGCAACTCCGCTCCACCAGCTGCTAGTTTCGCCCATAACCGGTCAGGCTGAAGAATTTGTTGTTAACAGACTTCCGAAAAGTTCAATTTTCTGTGTTCTGGCTGTGTTTTCTGTTGCTAATATTTAGTTGTCTCTAAACTTGGTTGTGTGAGAAGGCACCGTGTCTCCACCTATGCCTCTATCTTGGCGGAAGTCCGAAAAAATAACTTTTTAAAGAAGTACAGCCTTTGAGGCTGCCATTCTCCAAGGAAATAACCTGGAGACGCTGTGAAGTCCCAGTAACCAGGCAGACTCACTCCATTTGGATGACTTTGGAAACCAGTCCTGCACACACACAGCAGATGGCTGAAGTCAGGGAGCTTGCCTGGGCCCAGAGAGAAGTCATGAGCAACAGGAGGAGGAAGACATGGGAGCCCTGCAACCTGGGGAGGCAACTGAAGAGGCTCAGAAAGTATAGCTTTCTAAACCAAAATGTATTTGAGAGCAAGGAATGCCCCATGGACACCAGAACCTTCTGCCTGCATGACAGCCCCTTCTAGTACCTCCTGCCCAACTCGGAGAAAACACATGATCTCTCAAAACCTGGGACACCTGTATACAGGCTTGGGCCCCAAACCCAGACTTAGGGGAAGTCAAGGTCACCAGCATACCGGTGTCACCATATCCTGCCACATCCAGGCACACATCAACACTCAATCATGGGTATCAACCAGCCAAGGTTCTTTACATGGAATTACAATTCCATTCAGAATTCAAGGAAAAACAGAAGGTAATATGCAGAGACACTAATTCGAGGCAATTCTCCAGAAACTTAGTCCCCAAAAGTGCACTAACTCCTTGCTTGGACTCCACCATTCTGTTCAAGATCCACCAAGAAATTCTGAGTGCCATATTGAATCTGCTTCAGGAAAATTGCACTCTCTTCTGACCTATTTATTATCCAAAAACTTTTACCAGAAGCCACTGTCCTCCCCAGGGAGCTGAGTGTCAGCCTGAGAGCTAAACCCCACAAATACAAGCACTCGGTTGGTATGTCTGTTCTGGAAGACAAGTACCACCTGTTCCTGATGAGAGCCTGACTGGGCTGG